CCCACCTCTCCCCCCAAAAGTGGGGGAACACATATTTCTTTAAATATTGTGGTGGGTGTTTAAAGAACCCGACTCTTCTTTCCCAGCAATTGCTTGATGGCAGTAGGGTCAGAGGACTTTTTAATCACTTCCCTGCCATATAGTCATCTCCTCAGACCTTGATAAGTTTCAAAACCCTGCTGTTCACTATGCCCCAAACTTCTGGACATGCTCCAGATTTTGAACTGACGGAACTTGGAGCAGGCACACTGGACCTGGAACAGGACTTAGGGATCACAGTGTGTTTGCACTGAACATAGGGAAAAACGTATCTTCTTTTCCACGTATACATCTACAAAAAATCCCAACTTCAAACAATTTGTAAATTTATGCCAATGAAAATATACAAACAAATAATTTAAGGTTCCACGACAGAATAGAACTTGCTGATATAGCATATTAAGCAATGTGACTAATTATGGTTGCATTTTACCAATTACCCAGCCACAGAGAGTACGTGATATTAAGAGATATTTCCATGAAAGCTAAAGAAGAATTATATGCACGGTCTGTTTTATTATGCTCACAGGAAGATGGAAATTTTCAAATCAAACAGAAACGAAGAAACAAAAGTGAATAAAAAGTCAAAAAGTCAAACAGCAACAATCAAATAGTTCAGGTGATCAGCAACTAAGCTTAGTCCAACACACATTGCTTATGAATTTCATGGCTGAAAATGGAAATTCAGCTATTGCTTCAATTAAATCTTCATAGCTAGGTAGTTTTACTTAGGGGCTGGGAGAGAGCATGATTTGAGGCAGCAGTACTACACTACGGATATTTAGTCCTTCTGTACAAAACACACAAGTACCCCCAAAATATTTTGCTGAGTTCCTCTCTCATTCAAGGCAAGCTGCACAATACCCCAAAACAGCCAAATTCTGTTAGCACCCAAGGCAGATAATCCTATTTCCCTAGATATAACTACGTAATCAACAATTTGCTGTCTTTCATAATATGTAGAATCTACCATGAGAGGTAGCTGCCTCACATTTGGCCTGTAATGGCCACTGCATAGCAATAATCATAGTAGATATACAAGTTATTCTGAAATTCTTCGCACATGGCCAGGGTCACAGATTTATGAACGCTTTCATGCACAGCTAGATCTGACTGCACTGCAGAAAAGCGGCTTAAAGAAAGTTACAGCATTTGAAAGATATCTCAAAAACCACTCCTCATTCTTATTGAACTAGGAGATGCACAAACTTTACAATACAGAAACACCACATTCCTGTTTGTAACAGGTATTATAGAACTATCTTTGGACCTTACAAAAAGCAAAACCATCTCATCAGTTATACATCAGCTCTGAACATCACAAAGCAACTGAAGCCAGAGTTAAATGTTACACTAAGCACAGAAAGTTCACCACATGAGTATTCCAATTATATCTGTCCCTGCCAACATCACTCAGATGACACTGGTTCCAAAAAGTAGTCACACATTTAGTGACTATCTGCAGAAGGAAAGCCTACATATTTACAGCTATAGCTGTGCACATGCAGGCTTCCCATTTGCAGACATTACCACAGCAAGAGGACTATCCATAATATTAAAATATTGATTCTAACCCCTTCATGGATCACTCCCTTGTCATGGTGAAGGGACTTGCGTAACTCAGTGAAGCCATAAGCTATACCGTGCAGGGCCACCCAAGA